CGTTCAGCTCTTTATTAGACCATCAGGTGTTTTAGGCAAGCACAGTAACACAGCTTCACAGTTACACAAATGCAACATAAACAAAAGCAACACACCTTAAAATAACATTCCCCAACACACAACCATCTATTTACTCCTACGCTACTTGTTTCCCTGGACACCAGGCATGCACATGGTACACACCCATATATTCAGATATTCAAACACATAAAATCAAAATAGAGACATCTTTAAAGGTCTAAAGCTTTTTACATTTACCAAGCATTTCCCTGTTTTTATAAAGCATTTCCAGGACTGCTGGCAGCACAATATCCAGGTTTGATTTCCAGCACTGCAAAGCACTAAGTATTGCTAATTTAAAACTCAGATGCCAGATATTGTAGGTATTACCTTCTCCTGTACCATGGCTCAAAAAAAAATCTCAATCTTACCAACTGTGATGTTGCATATTTTTAATCCTAGCACCCAAGAAGCAGAAACAAGCAGATCTGAGTTTGAGGCCAACTGGGTCTACACAGTGAGTTCCAGGCTGGCCAGGGTGGTAGAGGGAGACACTGTCTCAAACAATGCAAAATTCAAAGCCTTAAACCTGTGCTATCTGAAAAGCAAGTTACATTCCCAGGTCCTCATAGTTTGTTTGTATCGGTTCTCATTTTGTAGTTTTGGTCTGGAACTTGCTGTTACACAGGCCAGCCTCAAACTTGCACTGATCCTCCTGTCTTAAATCTCCTGAATGCTGGGATTAGAGATTTGCACAATGACACCATTATTTTATATTCAGAGAAAAGTGAATGTTCATGTCATTTTGTATATTCTTTTTTTTTTTTTTTTGGTTTTTCGAGACAGGGTTTCTCTGTGTAGCTTTGCGCCTTTCCTGGATCTCGCTCTGTAGACCAGGCTGGCCTCGAACTCACAGAGATCCGCCTGCCTCTGCCTCCCGAGTGCTGGGATTAAAGGCGTGTGCCACCACCGCCCGGCTGTATGTTTTTTTTAAAAAATTTTTTTTATTCTTATGTGCATTGGTGTTTTACCATACATCCCCTAGAAGTGGAGTTACAGACAGTTGTGAGCTGCCATGTAGGTGCTGGGAATTGAACCCAGGTCCTCTGGAAGAGCAGTCAGTACTCTTAACCACTGATCCATCTCCCCAGCCCCCATTTGTATATTCTAGCTACCACTAAGTTTGCAAATAAAGTAGTACTGAAGAACGTAAGTCCCCTCCCCATTTATTTATCTGTGTGTGTGTGTAGAAGTCAGAGGGCATCTTTTGGGAGTTGATTCTCCTATCATGTGAGTTTAGGAATCAAACTCAGGATGTCAGATTCAGTAGCAAAACCTTTACCCACGGAGCCACTTAGCCAGTCCTGGGGTTTTCTGCTGTAGTCTGTTTTCCACAGCCTAGGCTAGCCTCAAGTATACCGTAACCCTCCTGCTTCAGCCAGAGTGCTGGGATTAGGCATGTGCAACATCTGGATTAAATTTTTTACAAGAGGGAAACCTCTCAATTAGTTTTTCACCACAGCCGAGATTATTCCTCAATGAGAAGGCACTTTTCAAAGACCCCCATAAGGGATAGAGACGGACCAGCATTACAGCGCTTGGTCTTTCAGCAGCAACATGGCAGCTAACAGCAGCTATCTGTAACTCCAGTTCCGCAGGATCGGTGGCTTTCTAACCTCTGCAGGCTCAGGCCCTCACATCACACACAGACATACATGTGGGTGAAACACCCACATACATAAAATAAAAAAATACAAACAAATCTTTTTAAAATCCCATAAACTAGCTCCTACAAAGGACCTATACTAGAGACTCTCAAGCCTATGAGGCTCTTGTCATCTGCTATAAAGGCACATTAAATATATAATGCTGGTCACGCTATTTTAATGATGGAAAATAACAGCCGAGAGTCAGTTTAGGACGATGTCACCTGTTCTATGTCTGAAAATGCTAAAATTGCTGCAATACTCAGTGATATTCCTTTTTTTGTTGTTTTGTTTTTCGGGACAGGGTTTCTCTGTATAGTTTTGATGCCTGTCCTGAATCTCACTCTGTAGACCAGGCTGGCCTCGAACTTACAGAGATCTGCCTGGCTCTGCCTCCCAGTGCTGGGATTAAGGGCGTGCACCACCATCACCCAGCGTGATACTCCTTTTTTTATGTCATGTAGCCCAGGCTGGCTTGGAATTCACTCTGTAGCTGGAAATGACCTTGAAGTGCTGATCCTGGTTCTAAAACCTCTTGAGTGCTAGGATTTCAGATATGCATGCATCAAGCTTAATTCTGAAGATGAAAATTCTAAAACCTTATCTATTATCATTATGTCTCTGTGTGCATGATGTGTGTGTATGCATGCATATGTGCCACTTGTAAGTGTGGAGGTCAGAGGACAACTCTGCAGGGCCAGTTCTCCTACACCTTTAAGTGGGAACTGAGCTCAGGCTACCAGGCTTCAGTGGCTAGTGGCTTTACCTGTTAAGTATCTCTCTGGCCTGAAAACAGGATTTCTAAATGAAAGCTTATGAACTACAATCCTGAAAAGTGCTCCAGATAATGTTGCCTCTTTAATCTATAATCTTAGTTTTCCAACTTTCAATGCTTTAAAATGAAAGTAAACACATCTCAACAGCCTTAAATATTTTCATGTATTTTATTTTTTAAAACACTTATAATTTTGCAAGCTAGCAGTAAAATATTGCTTCAATATTTTACTAATTAGCACCATATACTTTTAAAGCTAACTGGAACATTGTTTCACTGTAAATGATTGTAAAATAAGATATCCAATTATTTTCAACATAAGATCATTAATGAAATTAAAGCATTATTTTTTGGCTCTAGGCACATATGTGCACTTTAAAGATGAATTTCATTATGTTAATATATTTGCCAATCTAACCAAGTCAAAGTATCATAGTTTAAAGCAGTACTTAATCTCTGAAATTATTCTAGAAAAGGATATAAGAAAATTGAGAAACCAGCTATAAAAACAAAAGGGCATTCTTTTACTTTTTAGAAATTTCTTAATTTTTGGAAGAACAAAATAACTTGGTGAAAAAGTCCTTTGGTGCAAAGATCAGTTAAACACATTGTTTAGTACACATTACCATTTTCATGCTTCGCTTATTAGCAGCCTTACCAAAAAGCCACGGAAAGGTCTGGAACAACTCACAGGGACAGCTGGAAGGCTGAAATAAAATTGCTTAGTGATTGAAAATAAAAAACAATATAGAGAGTCCAAAAAAAAAAAATTGCTTAGTGCTAAAAAGATCCCAAGTCATTTGAATAGTTTTAAATGGAAGCCTAGACATTTAACAGCTATGCTTTAATGTCCTCATCTGAAAAAAAACTTTCAAAAAGGTAGAAAAAAAACCTAATTATACTCAAATTACTTCCACACATTTTAAAAAAGGATATTTTCATTTGCTGTACTCTGATAAAAGCACTCAAGTTCAGAGCCACAACTGACTGCTCACTAGCACGCCTGTCTTGCATACCGGTGGAATCAAGTCCAGTTCTGCCATCTGTGGATGACTATGACAAGATACAAAAGCATGTGTTTGCCATAAATAGCTCTGGCTAATAGCAAAGTGCGCACACTGAGCAGATCAAATTCTCTATAAGGAGACGCTCTGGACCACAGCCAAATCCTGTTACTAATGTTTAAGATCGCTACATCAATTTTTTTTCCAATTCAATTTGGAAAAGATAATAAGGAATCGTAGCTGAAATGAATATTCCTAAACATCAGAACCTCTGAATGACATTTTACTAATTATTTTCATCATGATCAAGTAATAAAAACATCCTACTTCTACAAAGAAATTATTTAGTAATGTAACTGTGAATTAATATCCTAATGTATCTAGAGAACAAATAAGATACTGGAGTATGCCAAAGTGCAAAAAAAAAAATTCTAATTTCCATATTATAACATAAAGAAATAAATAAACATATTTATATAAGTACCACTCTTTTAATGATTTATATAAGTGATCTTAAGATATTTTTAAACCAAAGAAATTCAACAATCTGGAAAAAGAGACACATGATGTTAATATTAAAGAAAAGAAAATCTCAAATACCAGTGCAGAGCTTAATCACTGTTTATCCTAAAATTTCACATGACAATTTGCAAAATTTCCAAGGAAAACAAGGCAACGTTCTGTAATATGCCACAATTTTTATTGCAACGTGGCCACTTTTGTGAGGGTGGGGAATTTGATCTCAAAACAATGTTCCATTTAAGGCTCTTGTATACAGAAATTGCCATCATGACTGATATTCAAAATATCTGTAGTGTTTCAAGACTCATACGGTAAACATAAAACTCCTACATGTACTCAGTAGTGTATACTCAGTGGGAAAGCAAAGACATCCACACAGCTATTTCTCTCAAGAAAGTATGCAGGTAGAGGAATGAACACTGAGGTACTGGGATAAATATATGACACGTAATGAAACTTAATTGGCATTCTTTTTAAGGAATTCAACGCATTTAAAAAAAAAAGTGCTTTTAAGGAGTCTGTTAGATCTGTGCTGCCGTGTCACAAAACAGGTTTGCCAAGGCAGGTGAGGTGTGCAAACGCTCCAGCGCCTCAGAGAACTGTCATCAAGTGCAACTATAAATAATACTGACAGAAGTTGACCATACGACCAGTGGATAATACTTTCAAGGCATTCAATTAGCTTACCCTCTGTAGTACTCTACCTAAGCTATTCACACTGACAATCACATCCATTGTCACTGCGAGGAAGGCATGGAACCAGTTGTTTTGGCTAAAATAAGACGGGGAAGGCATTCCCTGGGGTCTACAGAAAAGTAACCGTATTAAACAGTCTTGTGGCAATCACTGACAGGCTTCTAAATCCATCCATTCATTGTGTTCAAAGGGCCCAGTGGAAAGGGAAGAAACAAAAAAACAAAACCCACTACGGTTCCAGTGGACTGAGCTGGAGAAACGGAAGCCCCTTAAGATGCGATGGCACTTGGCTATGATTTTATAGCGGCTTTCCTTCCAGGGAAACTACCACACTGCCTCCCAGTTTCTCTCCCAGTGTCGAGCGGTCCTTAATATCATCCAAGCCATTCACCTGCCACTCATGTTTAATACCTACAAAAGAGAGAAGACATATCCATGAACCTTATTATAATTAAGAAACTTTTTTTTTTCTGCACAAAACACTCAATGTTTATACCTGTAAATTTCTTTTTAATGGCATCTTTAGAGCTAGCATAAATCATCTTGCTTTTTAACGGTGCACTTTCCGGAGCCCTACGGGGGAGGGGGGAGAAAATGTTGAAATTCAAAAGAAAACAAAGGCAAAAACTGACTGTGATAATAATAATCCTTGCATTTTTAAAAGTACTTTTTTTCTCTTGTTTTTACACACCAGAATATAAATACTAGGTCTTCCTTCTTAGACTCTTTTGTTTCGTACGTGGCATCGTACAAAGCATATCGGCAATCATTCAGAGGTAGCAACTTCACAAAAGATGTGTAGGGGTCCTCTACTGTCTCACCAATGTCACCCACCAAGATCTGCTTGGCTTCCTCTACAATTATTTGTCTTTTGTCATCGCTCAGACAGAAGAGAACCGCTTTCTTTCTCTTTTTGATTTCCTCTTGTGTAGAAGATTTTCTTACTTTCATATCATTAAAAACTTTGATGACCTCATCATTCACTGTAACTCCAGATGCCTGAAAAAATGAACAAAGGGACGGGGATTTAGAACAAGTATTTTGGTCTGAACCAAAATTATTGTTTGACTAACAAGGCTTCACTTCAGTCCGCCCAGACTTAAAAAAAAAGAAAGGCACCCCACAACGTAAGCAATCCTATTAGATCTGCCACATTTAAACATCAGAAGATAGAGCTGAAATTTCTAACTCATACTGCCCATTCATCCTTCTTAAAGGAGGACGGAGGGGGAAAAAATTAGCAAACGGAAGGTGGGAAGGGACAAATACGAGTTGACCCATGCCTGAAATGTTTCCTATTTCACTGGGTGATGTCAGAGCTTCAGGAGCAGCCGCAAAAAATACCTTCTGTATTGTGTCAACTCTGCAGACCTTTGGAGGAAAAAAAAAAAAAAAAAAAAAAAAACCCCACTTCGGGATTTCGGTTAATGCTGCTAGTATTTATTTTTTCTTTAAACACATCTTTAGCCACCGCCGCTTCCTCATAAGGAAAAGAGAATCAATCCAGTGTAAACTCCAGCCGGCCGCGGCTACAGCAAAAAAAAAAAAAAAAAGGCCCCGCCGCCCATTGGCAGCCGCTGGGAGAGTAACGGGTCCGGTGTAAAAAGCTTCCTCCCGGCGGCGAGAGAGCCATTTCCAAAGGGCGCCCCACCTGCCCGAGCTCCAGACGGCGCGTTGACGGCGGGGCCTCCGGGACCCTCACCCGCGGGCTTCCGGACACGTTCCAACCCTCCCGGCGCGCGGGCTGCGGCCGGAGGGGGCCCCTCCCGCCCTCGGACCCCGCGCGGCCGCAGGCCCGGGGCCCGCTCCCCCGCCCGCCCGGCCGCCGCAGGGCCTCGAGCGCGGGGACCCCAGCGCGGGCGCGCCCACCGCACAGGCCCCGGGGCGGGCGGGCGGGCGAGCCGGGGAAGATGGCGGCCGCGCGGGAGTCCGCGCCGCGCCCAGCATCCCCCCCCCCCCAGCCGGCGCGCCCACCTTACCATAGTGCCCGCGGCTGAGGCTGCGGCGGCGGCGGCGGCGGCGGCTCGGGGCTCCGGCTCGGTGGCACTGGGACGAGAAGAAGGAGGGGCCGGCGGCGGGCAGCCGAGAGTGCGGGGCACGCCGGGAGCTGCGGGCGGCGGGCTCGGGGGCCGCAGGGCGGGCGCGGCGGTCACGTGCTCCGGCCCCGCCCCCCGCCCGCCCGCCCGTGTCCTCCGCCTGACCCCGGAGCGCCCGGGCCCGGCTAGCCGGAAAGCGCGCTGGGGGCGGAAGCCCGGATGCCGGCCGGCGGGAAGGATCGCAGCCCCGGGGCCATCCCGGGGAGCCACCAGGCCCCTCACTCGAGCGGTTTGCGGACCCCCGGCGCTGCTCCCGGGTTGGGACGTGAGGAAGCCGGGTGTGGTGGTGGGGTAGAGCGTTTGGCTTCCTTCACCCGCGTTCTCTCCACCGACACGGTCAGGATTGTGACATGTCGGGTCCTTTTTGGAAGACTCCAACTTTGTGTGACTCATTTCGATCTTGTGTGTGTGTGTGTGTGTGTGCGCGCGTGTGTGTGCGTGTGCGTGTGTGTCAGGATCTCCTTGGTAGCCTTCGCTGGTTTCTGATTCACGATGTAGCAGCAGGTGACCTTGAACGGATCGCCATGCCTGCATCATGCAAGAGCTGGGATCCCAGGGGTTAGACCCTCCTCTCACTAAGATGGGAATAAACACTATATACATATTGCCTCATTTATTGAAGTACTAAACAAAAGCAGGATGATAAGCAGGCTTGTTGTTGGCTCACCCCTGAAATCCTACAAGAGGGACGGGCATAGAGACACCGAGGCCACATACTCATAATGCTCTGGAGGTGCCTGGGACAGAATCATAATCCAGGTAAAACTAGAAACGACTAGGGTTACATTTCTTTTCCCTGTAAATGGGGTCTATTGAAATGGCTAGAAAAAAATACATGCGTACAGATGTAGAGGGAGAAAGGCCTTAAGCAATTGATTCGGTAATTTTGTTGAAATCTGTGTGTGTGTGTGAGAGAGAGAGACAGAGACAGAGAGGGCATGTGCTATAGCACACATGGGGAGTCATTTCTCCTCTACCTTGTGGGCCCTGGGAATTGAACCCAAGTGATCAGGCTTGGTGGTACCCTACACCTGTGACTCCAGCTCCAGGGACTCTGACCCCTCTTTTGGCCTCCACAGACACCTGCACATGTGTACATACCTGTACACACATACACATGCATAAAAATAAATCTTAAAAAAAGTCCTTTTTTAAAAATTTTTATTTTTACTCATGCATGCATCTGTGTATCTATGTGAAGGTCTTCCATGTGTGTGCAGGTGCCCTTTGGGGCCAGAAGTGGGATCCCTGGAGCTAGAGTTGCAGGCAGTTGTGAGCTGCCTGATGTGTGTGCTGAGAACCAGACTAGGATCCTGTGAGAGCAGGACGTGCTGTTAAGTGCTGAGCTATCTCCAGCCCCTTCTTTTATTTTTTTTTAAAGCATACATGTAGTCGAAAGTTTTCTCCAGTCCCACCTGGCCCCACAGTCTCGCAGCCGCTTATAAAATAATCACTCAGAGGCTTAATATTATTTATAAACTGTGTGTCCTATGCCAGGCCTCTTGCTAGCTAGCTCTTATATCTTTGTTCGTTTGTTTGTTTTTGGAGACAGTGTTTCTCTGTGTAGCTTTGGTGCCTGTCCTGGAACTCACTCTGTAGACCAGGCTGGCCTCAAACTCACAGAGATCCACTTGCCTCTGCCTCCCGAGTGCTGGGATTAAAGGGGTGCACCACCGCCACTTGACTAGCTCTTATATCTTAAATTAACCCATTTCTGTTAATCTATTTTTTTGCCACGTGTCCTGTGGCTTTACTGGTCTGCTGCTATCTTGCTTCTTGGGTGGCAGGCTGGCGTCTCTTCAGACCACCTTTCTCTTTCCTGTCTCTCTCCTTGGATTTCCCCCCTGCCTGTAAGCTGCCTTGCCATAGTCCAAAACAGCTTTTTTTTTTTTTCCAGAGCTGAGGACCGAACCCAGGGCCTTGTGCTAAATCCCCAACCCCTAAAACAGCTTATTTTATTAATCAATGGGAACAACATATATTCACAGCATACAGAAAGATAACCCCCAGCACTTCCCCTTTTCTATCTAATCAAAAAGGAAGGTTTTAGCTTTAACATAGTAAAATTATATATAACAAATCAGTTATCAAGCAAGAATTATAGTTATGATATCTAGTCTATTTATATTTGGAAAAATTAGAAAATATTCTGCTATCTAATTTTTGTGAGTCTGTTTCATATCTAATTTAACTTTTATCATGACTAAGGAAAATTATAACTATCTAGTCTTCAACTCCATCAAAGACCTCAGAAGGATATAATATTACCACCTAAGTAAACAGGAAGAACATTGTAAGCAACTTCCAAAAATCTAGAATGACAGAGACAGCTGGCTGCCTGGACAGTCACCCAAAGTTCCTCTGTAACATTGGGGCATCCATCTTCAGCCTATAGGCCAAGAGTCTCTGGCAGACTTTTTAGTGAATTAGGAAATTTGAAGGCTCATCTTGCCTTATTTTGGCAAAATTTAGTGGTCATTTTTCTATGGGTCCTGCATGTCTAGTCAATACAACATTTTGTCAAGCAGTCCAGGCAAGAACAGTTTCTTGCCCAAATGGCTGACTTTTGCCATAAGGAAAGCAAACTCTACATGGAGTTTCTTCGATGCCCATCATCTTCTTTGAGTAAATCAGTGCTGCCAGGAGCATCCAACATGTCTCACTGTCCTGAAAGTCTAAGTTTTTAAAAACATTTTAAATGCCATATCTGTAGGTCTTTGAAGTGTTTGAAGATTACCTAACTAATTGAAATATATCTATGTATACCTAAAAAACTTAACTTAAATGACTATAAGTTTGATTTTGTAGATGACTATTAATCTGTATTTCTTAATTATACATTACAATTTTAAATGTGTTGCATAAACATAATACCTTAAACAAGAGTAAAAATATACATATAGTATAACAAAATTAACTTTAAATTTATACCAATAAACTAAAATCCATAGCAATGTAAAACATTTCAAACAAGTTGTTGTTCTTTAAAAGTAGACTCAGTAATCTATCCTTTTATCCTATCATATCTATATCACATACACATTAATTTTTGTTTGTTTGTTTGTTTTGAAACTGGGTTTTTCTATGTAGCTCTGGCTAGCCTGGAACTCACTCTGTAGATCAGGCTGGCCTAGAACTCACAGAGATCTGCCTGCCGCTGCCTCCCTCCTGAGGGCTGGGCCACTTGTGGGATAATTGTACACTGTAAAGATGTGTCTCTGCTTAAGGCACCTTCTGATTGATTTAATAAAGAGCTGAGTGGCCAATAGCTAGGCAGAAGTGATTGGCAGGACTTCCTGAGAGAGAGTGGAACTCGGGAAGAATCTGAGGTGCGTGGGATTAAGCCACTGAGACTTAGAGGGAGTCGAACATACAGTGTGGAGGAGAGGTAACGAGCCACATGGCAGAACACAGATTAATGTAAATTGGTTAATTGAAGTTATAAGAGCTGGGTGAGAACAAGCCTAAGCTAAGGCCAGGCATTCATAATTAATAAGACGTCTCCGTGTCATTATTTGGGAATTGACGGTTCAAAGAAAGTCCAACTATAGCCGCCACTTCCTGGCTTTTTAGTGTTTTATATAACACACAGGAGCAGTTGGGAGAAAGTGAAGACTCAGGACAACACCCTCTTGTAGTTTGTTCTTAAGAAATAGTGCTCGCTTTCAGGGATTGTGTAATGAAGTCCCAGGTATGACCGCTGGTATCAAATAAGCAAACCAAGAGCAGAGATTCTTTTCTCATCTAGACACTCAGCCTGTTCTGGCAAATCCACATTGCCAGCCCAATGCAGCTTCTTTTAAAAAGTATTAATGTTTTTGAGACAGGGTCTCACTATGTATGTACTGACTAACTTGAATTTGTCCTGTGGATCAGGCTGGCCTACAAAGATCTGCCTGCCTCGGCTTCCTGAGTGCCAGGATTAAAGGTGTGTGTTACCAAGTCTGGCCTATTTTTTGTTAATTGTTAGCATCTCACATGATGGGTTTCATTATGACACTTTATATGTCTTACACATTGTTAGCACCCCCCTCTGCCGTCTTCTCTCCCCCCCCAAGTCCCTCCCTTCTGCTTTTATGTTACACGAATTCCATCACCTCTCTTTCCCCCTTCCCTCTGATAGCCTCTTTCTCCGTTCATGACACACACTGAAACCCAGAGCTCACACAGAAGCGATAACATGCAGGATTTGTCTTTCTCAGTCTCACTTGTCTTTAACATGATGATCTCCAGCTCCATCAAATTTCTTACAAACTCGTGATTTCATTTTTCTGTTTCTTTTTTGTTTGGTTTCTGAGGCAAGGTCTTGGGTATTCCAGGTTGGCTTCAAACTTACTGTTAGAAAGGATGCCCTGAGACTTCTGATCCTCTTACCTCCCCTCCATGAGGACCTGAATGCTGCCACATCTGCTTTGTGTGATGCTGGGGGACTCCTGCATGCTAGGCAAGCAAGCGTTCTTCCAACTGAGTCTCTGTGTTGCTTCCCTAGCCCAAGGTTGTATCCCCAGCCTCCTATTTCTCTTCAGAACTACCCACCTTGTTAATCATTTATTGATTAATTTGTGAGGTTTTGATATTTCAATTTTTTTTTTTTTTTGATTTTTTAGAGACAGGGTTTCTCTGTGTAGCTTTCTGCCTTTCCTGGAACTCACTCTGTAGACCAGGCTGGCCTCGAACTCACAGAAATCCATCCATTTCTGCCTCCCAAGTGCTGGGCTTTAAAATGAGTACCAACACTCTTGGGTAGGTCTCTGTTTTTGAGCACTTCCTTTCAGGGTCCCCCTTCTGTCCTAGCCTGGAAAGACCAGGGCTGCTGCTGCAGAAGCTGGGGTTCCAAAGATGTTAATGACCCTCCTGCTGTGACATGTCACAAGACACAAGCCTGTCCCCTTCTCAGGCACAGTTCCTGTCTCTCGTTCTCTAATTTCCCTGAATTCATCTTTGTCTCCGCACATATTTTGTATTACACTAACTGGTTACAGATTCTGCTGCCCCATTGATTGTAAGCTATTTAAGGATTTGAATCCTTCTTTTCTTTGAATTTCTGGAGCCTGGCACATAGTAAGTGCTCAGGAGATGCTGAAATAATAAATTTAAACAATTTTGGTGCTATTAAGAGGGAAGCTGGGGCTGGAGATGTAGCTTCTTTGGTAGAATGCTTTCTAGTATATACACAGCCCTGGTTTGGTCCCCAGTATCCCATGAACCAGTTATGGTGGCATATAACTACAACCCCAGCACTTGGGAGGCAGAGGCAGGCGTCGGGAACATCTGATGATGTTCAAGGTCATCCTCAGTGGTTAAGAGCATTTGCTGCTTGTGCAGACCCAGGTTTAATTCCCAGCACCCGCAGGGTGATTCACAACTATCTGTAACTCCAGTTACAGAGTATCCGACACCCTCTTCTGACCTTAGGCACCGGGCACAAATGTGGCACACATATACACGTGCAGGTGAAACACACATCTAAAACAGTTGTTTCGTTTTTATAGATGACAGCTGGGCATGGCTTATGCCTGTGAGCCCAGCATTTTTGTTTTGTCTTGTTTTTCAAGACAGGGTTTCTCTGTGTAGCCCTGGCTGTCCTGGAACTCAATTTTTAGTCCAGGCTGGCCTCAAACTCAGAGTTCTGCCTGCCTCTGCCTTCAGTGCTAGTATTAAAGGCTTGTGCTACCATGCCCAGGTTGATCCCAGCATTTAGGAGGCAGAAGCAAGAGGATTGCTGCATGTTCAAGGCCAGCCTGCTTTATGTAGTCTACATAAAAGCCGCCAGAGTGACATATGGAGACCCTGTTTCAAAAACACCTCAAACTCTAACCCAGTCCTTCTCTCCAACTGTGCTGTACCCATTAACTACCCCCTCTCCAACCCCCTCTCTGCACCCTTCTCAACCTCTCTTACCACTCTGCACCCCATTTCTATGTGATCACTTCTTTTTTTGTTGTTTTTTTTTGTTTTTGTTTTTGTTTTTTCGAGACAGGGTTTCTCTGTGTAGCTTTGCGCCTGTCCTGGAACTCACTTGGTAGCCCAGGCTGGCCTCGAACTCACAGAGATCTGCCTGGCTCTGCCTCCCGAGTGCTGGGATTAAAGGTGTGCGCCACCACCGCCCGGCTGTGATCACTTCTTAAAGTTGGATCATCAGATACTTGGGAAGTGCTGACCTCACCCACTCACATGCAATAGAAATGAAACAACCCGACCCTTATTCCATCCGAAGCTCAGATAAAGTTTGTTCAAGAGTCTTCAGAAACTGGGAAAGGTGAATACTCCCTAATGCCCATTCTCCCAAGGCACAATCAAGAGAGAGATCCTGTGGCATGTCAAAACTTTGAAATTCATTTTTAAGATCTTTTAGAAATGATGAATCTGAGTCAGACTTGGTGCCAAAGGCCTGCCATCACAGCTACTTGGGAGGCTGAAGCAGGAGGATTGCCAAAGGTTCGAGACCAGCCTGGTCTACATAATGAGTCTCCCTGGGATGATTTTGTTATTCTCTCTCTCTCTCTCTCTCTCTCTCTCTCTCTCTCTGTGTATATGCATGTGGGTGCCGAGTACAGATGCCCACAGAAGTAAGAATTGTCTTAGCCACTTGGAGCTGGAGTTCCAGGTGATTATGAGCCGCCTGACAAGCTGGGTGCTGGAACTGAACCCAGGTCCTCTGGAAGGGAAGGAAGTGTTCATATCCAATGAGCAATCTCTCCAGCCCCGGTTTTGGCTTGAGTTTCCCTTCCTTCCTTCCTTCCTTCCTTCCTTCCTTCCTTCCTTCCTTCCTTCCTTCCATCCTCCCTCCCTCCCTTCCTCCCTTCCTTCCTTCCTATCTGTCTGTCTGTTTTGTTTTTTTGAGACAGGGTCTTTCTGTGTAGCTCTGGTTGTCCTGCAACTCACGCTGTAGACCAGGCTGGCCTTGAACTCACAAAGATCCTCCTGCCTCTGCCTCCCGAGTGCTGGGGTTAAAGTCGTGCACCACCACTGCCCGGCTCATTTTTGCTTTTTGAGATAAGGTCTCGTGTAGTTCAGGCTGGCCTTGAACTCACTAGTTTGCTGAGACCAGCCTTAAACTCCTGATCTTTCTGTCTTTGCTGCCTACATTCTGGGACCATGCATGACAATGCCCAGTTTTGGTAAAAACCATTTTGAAAAGTTGTTTGATTTAAAAAAAAGAAGAGTTTTGAAACCGAGTCTGACAGTGTAGCTGTGACTGGCCTGGACTTGCTGTTTGTCAGGCTGGCCTTGAACTCACAGAGCTCCTCCTGTCTCTGCTTCCTGAATGCAGGAATTAAAGCCATGTATCAGCAAATCCTGCAAAAAACATTAAGCTTCCGTAAAAACCCAGTAAGTCCATTCCTAGGTACATATCCCAAAGACATTAAAGCATATGTTCGCACAAAAACCTGTATGTGAAAATTCATGGAAACATTATTCATAACAACCCCAGACTACAAGCCCCTGACCTGTCCCCCGACTGGTGGGTGGCTAAAGGAAGTGTACCCATGCCACAGAACATGATTAGCAAAAGTGTTGCAACCTGGATGAACCTAAAAATGCCATTCAAAGTGAAAGAAGCCAGTTCCCAAAGAGGACGTATTACATAGTGAATCCAGAGCCAGAAAACCTCCAGAGATTGGAGCCTACTGCTTGTCTGGGGTGGGGAAGAGAGAATGTGGAGGGGCTGAAAAAGTGGGGGTTACCTCCTTTGGGGAGGTGAAAATGTTCTAAAATTGGATCGTGGTGATGTCACACACCTGTGAATATAGTGGAAACAGTCTTCGTAAAAGGAACAGCATTTCACTACTGCTGCTTCTGTCAAGACTTCGTGTGACTCAGAC